GGCACAAAGGAGGAAACTGCATGTAGGGCTAATGAGGGTTGGGAATTGCTGAAGAACCATGGGAGGCGGGATGGAGATCCCGTACTAGGGCACTGATAACTAACCTGCCTCAGTCAAGGAAGTGAGGCTAGTCCAGGATGCTGGCTCAGAAAGGCAGGTGCTGACTGAACACGCTCCCACCTTTGGTTCCTGAAGGAAGGCTAAGATATTACATCTTGGCAACAACTAGCCAAGGCTTACAGTCTAGTTTCTGGGAGGCCCCAGTTCCCTAGGCTAACGCTTTTGTGCTGTGCTGTGCTCGGAGTAGCCTACGTTAGGGGCTGGGAGAAGCAGGTAACTTGGGGATGAAGAATGGGAGAACAGAGCTTATTCCAAGAAACCGAGAGAGAAGGAGACCAAGATGCTCCTAAGCCTTCTCTATGACCGCGGGGGTGCATACAAAATAGCGAGACTTCGGACAAAGGCGGCACTGGAGTAAAAGCAAGTGAGGAAGAGACCCCTGGCGGAGCCAGACCCCGGCTCTCAAAGTCCTCTTGGGCCTCCCCGCTACCTCCCGGCACCCCTCGCGCGGAGCCCCGAAGCTGTCAACCCCCTCCAGGCTCGGGAAAGACGTGGTTTTCCTTCCCGGTTTCTCCCTTAAGGCACAGCGGCCAGCCCAGTACCACTGCGTCTTGGCAAGGCTGGTGGTGCTCCCACCTTCACTTTAATTAGCATCTTCTTCTCAGTTTGGGGCTGCACACAGATAAATTGCTGCTTCTGCCGCTGCGGTCTCCGATGCCGCTCCCCAGCACTCCGCCTGTAGTAATCACTTCTGCTTCCGGGTCACTGCCAGGCTCCACCCCTGCCTCACACGCCCCCACCCCCTTCTTTCCAAGGGGTGCCGGAAAGGCTCAGGAATATTTCTGTGTTTCGTTTCGGTGGCGTAGTGAAAGAAAAAAAAAGAAAGTAAAAAAGCAGCCAGCTTAGTCACAGCAGAGATGACAATTCTGAGAGTCCCCAGTGAGTTGGGGCTAGTAATAAGCGGGCGCGGAACGAACTACCCCTCCCATCATGCCAGGGGGCAGCTCCGCGCATCCCACTCTGGGAGTTGTAGTCCCCTGTCCCTCAGATCCAACAGCATCCTCAGTGTGTGAACTCTGTTACCCAGAAGGCCTTGCACGGCGGCCACCGAAGCCGGAATTCCTCGGTTGCTAGTTCTCTGCGCAAATTTGCCCAACCTGTTATCCCACAAGGCTCAGCGGGGCTGCGCGAGGCTGTGGTTAAGCGAGAGAAGCGTCGGTCAACTGCCACCCGGATCACGGCGACAGGAAGTGAGTACCCCCATCCCGGAAGCTGGTTTACGTGAAACCCACCACTCTTCGCTCCAGAATCTGCCCCTTACCCCATATTGGTCTTTGTAACGGTGGCAGAAAGAAGAGTCGGGGCGTAGAGAATGCACCATTTTAGGGTCACTCACGACTCCATCCCAGTTCTCCCCAACAAATAATACTATTTGTTGAAGACACCGAGAGTAATTGAAACTGCATGTGTCTGAAGTGACATTCTTCAGGGACTGTACGTCAGTCAATGCCCAGACTTTCCACGATTTGAGCTAGGAGAGAGATAAGCCTCCCAGCCCTAAAGGCATTAAGACCTAAAGGGAAGTTGACTCAGCTCCCCTCTCCCAGACTTTTCCTACCTTCCAACCCTCAGATTCATTGCTATCTTAAGGTCCCTGCCATGCCTCACATCGACAACGACGTCAAACTGGACTTCAAGGATGTCCTGTTGAGGCCCAAACGCAGTACCCTTAAGTCTCGAAGTGAGGTGAGCCTGCTTTCCTAGTTGCTCTTTCTTGATCCCAAGCTCCTTGCAGAGCCTGAACTGAGAAAGATTCCTGGCTTTTGCCCTCCTGCAGTACTTGTTTTTGGAAGAGTGAAATGCTCAGGTTCCTGTTCGCATCTGCAGGTGGATCTCACAAGATCATTTGCATTTCGGAACTCAAAGCAGATGTACACTGGGATCCCCATTATTGCTGCCAATATGGATACTGTGGGCACCTTTGAGATGGCCAAGGTCCTCTGTAAGGTAGGATTTCCCTCATGCCCCTTCCTCATGGTGTTTCGTGGGCTGACTGCAGAGGTATCTGCATCCCCACTCCCATCCCAGGTCAGCTCTGGCAGTTAACAGTCAGGATGCTTGATTTACTGCTTTCTGCAATAGTACTAAGGCCTCTTTATCTGATAACTTTAAATGGCCATCTGACTTAGAGAGATTCAAATCTAAGTTTTTCACCCATTTTAACAGAAACTTCACTTTTCTCCTGTCCAGCATTTTAAACATCCTGCCAATTTTTCCCACTACCCAGATCACCCTCTACAAACCACTCTTTACACTACTGTTGGGATACTCAGCATTCACTGTTTTAGTCCAGAAACTAAATATAATTTGAGCATTCAAAAATTCCCAACCAGAAAATCCTAGAGAGAAGAAATTTAGTTTCTTTTATGCCTGCTATTTTTTTTTTTTTAATCTTCCTTTTCTTTTAAGTCCTAGGTTCCTGGGTGTTCTGGGATGTGCCCAAAATGGAATGTTTTTCTTATACAGGTTATTGCTTGTTTTCAAAATGGAAGATGCTGCCCCTGTCAGTTATATTACTTGCTTCTATACTTGTAGCTGAGAAAGTAGATAGTTACTTTGGGTATCCTAAGGACATATACACTCTTCTGGCTAGCCATGTAGCCCTGGTGGATGGATTCTGCTGCTGCTTGTGGCTCTGTTATCCTTAAGGACTTTGTCTCCCTTTCTGTGTTTCTGATTGCTATAAGTCTTTCTGGAATGTCTGCTGTCATTTCTCTAAGGTTCATAGTTATGCAGCTTTAGTACCATATTACTGTTGCCATTCACTATCTACTAAGCAATCCCACTGTTGCCTGTTGTCCACCTGGCCTATCCAGTACAGTTAAGGAATGGTGAATCTGACTTCAGTGTTACCAGATGTCCTACAGCACATGGACCTTGCTGGGACTTTCTTGATGCTTTATGTTGAGACTGGCTTTTCGTTTCTGCTGATGAATGCTGAAGAAGTCAGATTTTAGAGATACAAGCAAGTCTCAGTAATAATTAAAAGGTTCAGTGCAAGGACCTTTTTCTAGATCTCTAACTTGGTATGTAATTGGATGTATTCATCATGCCACCCTATGCCAAGATATCTCCCAGGTGTGATGACTGCCTAGAGTGATTTTTCTTTGTTGGTGGCAGAGTGTTGCTGAGAAAGCAGAATTCAGTAGCAGCTTTGGCTGGGTAGTGTTGATCTGAGTATAGCATGTGCACTTCCTTACTGCTGGCTAATGCGTGACTCCCTTGGATCTCTTATCAGTTGCAAGATTTGTGCTTTCTCCAATGCTGTCTTGTTTATTCGCATGTCTGCACTTTTAAAGCACAAACACCAGCATTCACAGTGGCCTTTGAATGCCTTTCTCAGAATATTGGGATGTTGTCTGCAGTTTTTTGAGCTAGGGAGCATAAATCTGATGAGTCATTCTAGCCTTCAACTTGGTTAACTGAAATAGGCTGAATGAAACAGACTTTTCAGGTTGGTCCATGACTTAAGAAAATCTGTCCATTACTTTTTTTTGGGGGGGGGGTGCCATGCGTTAAAGTATATGGGACCGGGGATCGAACCCATACTCTCTGCATGGGAAGTGAGTCTTAACCACTGGACCACCAGGAAAGTCCCTTTTGTCCATTACTTTAGCAGAGATAGAGAAAGGGTAGTACCTTATCGGCTGTTAACCTTAAGGCTTTACCTTTTTTGATTTTGTGAGAATTTAGGCTCACTGAATTACTGCTGATAAATGGAACAGAAAATACCAAAAATAGGTTAGTTCTGTACTAGGTTGTCCTAGGAGGAGGAGCTGAGTCAGTGCAGGCAGACACTGTCTCTGTCCAGCCTTTTCATGATTCTCTTTTGTCTGCTGCTTATCCCACTGCACCAACAGCTTGTCCTTGTCACTTTTTAAGTCAGAAGCGCTACATGCGCTGGCAGGTGAAATCCAATCCAGATAACTTAGTGCTTTGGTGGGAGTGTTAGGCAAGTACTAGCTTATGTGGAAAAGCCTGATTGCATTTGTAGGGAGAATAATGGTGGAACTGAGGTCTCAGCTCAACCACTGACATCTTCAAGTTGCTTTTTCCAGACTTCAGTCCTTCTGTCCCCCAGATAGGATAATATAAAGGTCTATTTCCAGAGAAAGAGGTTCTAACAAAGTTCTTTCCTTCTTAACGGCTCTTTCTTCTCCCCAGTTCTCCCTCTTCACTGCTGTCCATAAACACTACAGCCTCGAGCAGTGGAAAGAGTTTGCTAGCCAGAATCCTGACTGTCTTGAGGTAACACTGGTCCTCCCTGATCCCTTCCTTAGCCCAGTCTTCCGAGAATCCTTTTTGCTTGGCTTCTGACCCTGATCTCCCCACTCCCGTTGGCTAACAGCCATGTTGTCTCTGACGTACTCATAGCCCTGTTTCTCTCACAGCATCTGGCTGCCAGCTCAGGCACAGGCTCTTCGGACTTTGAGCAGCTGGAACAGATCCTGAATGCTATTCCCCAGGTGAAGTATGTGTGCCTGGACGTGGCCAATGGCTACTCTGAACACTTTGTTGAATTTGTGAAGGATGTGCGGAAACGCTTCCCTGAACACACCATCATGGTATGTCTGTTACCCTCTAGTGGGTCCATTCCTCTCCTTCCTCCACTCTTTCCTGCCACTCTATTTTGTTATAACAGTTCCTTTCTCCTCTACTGCATTTCCTAGTCCACTTAATCATGTCACTTGGTGGTTATCCACGGTTCCCCGTTTTAGATGTTTGTTTACTGGCCAGTGCTGTTTTCCCTGACCCTTGATACATGGTCTTGTAAATCCAGTACCTGATGTCACTCACCAAACCACAATGGAACACTTATGCATTGTACATATCTCTGGTACATACACACCTGCCCAAAGACATAGACAGACACTACCGTCTTACATTAAAGGGGTTGTATCAAACGCAGTTTTATTTTTTTACAAGCTCAGGGGAGTGATGACAAGGCCTTGTTTTCTTCACAGCATTGTGGGGTCTCTCTGTCCTGTTCATCAAAAGCAAATACAATTGGGTAGGTGGGTACTTAGCCTACATTACCATGTCCTCCCACTTCCCCTGAAGCCAGAGAGGTTTCATGACCTAACAACTTAAGCACAGGATATGTTTGGGTGTCTTGGTGGGGAGGGAGAGATGAATCTACTATAAATCCAGTGTGAACTTATTCCAGTTGGACCCCCACTTTACCCTAGTACAACAGTAACACTGGCCACTCACCCCCTTACCTCAGCTTGGGAAGCAGGGTCCTTTGAAGTGACTCATCTAAAAAAGGAGCCCAGGGACTCTTCTTTGTAATAATGTTGGAAGCACATGACCTCCTCTCTTTCCTGAGAGGAGACCTTGAGAATGCTGTTTTGATGGTTCTGTCCCAGGCAGGGAATGTGGTAACAGGGGAAATGGTGGAAGAGCTGATCCTCTCTGGGGCTGACATCATCAAAGTGGGAATTGGACCAGGTAAGCTGGTTCACTGGGGGGTCACTGGCCACCCCTCCAGTGGCAGACACCTGTGGAGAACTTCATCCTCATTCTTGTCACATTCTTCTCAGGCTCCGTGTGTACCACCCGGAAGAAGACCGGAGTGGGGTATCCACAGCTAAGTGCAGTTATGGAGTGTGCAGATGCTGCTCATGGCCTCAAAGGCCACATCATTTCAGTAAGGTCATGGGCAGGGTAGGGTATGAAGCTGCCAAACATCTGGGTTCTCATCCATATCTAGAGGTTCTGGTAGAGTTTGGATCAGGGTTCCTGGGTCCCTGTCAGCATTGAGCTGGGCCGCTGGGACCTCCTAGAGGGCTTGGGGCATCCTTGCTGTCTCTTCACAGTGCTCCTTACTTTGCAGGATGGAGGCTGCAGCTGTCCTGGGGATGTGGCCAAGGCTTTCGGTAAGGAGGGCACGTAAGGAGGATCCTGTAGAAGAGGATGAGTCACCTCTGAGGATCTAGGATCAGGCTAGGGAAGTCCAAGAAAGCTGTCCTTTTACAATATGACCAGGGACCCAGAAGTCTGTGGTGTCACCTGGGGCAGGCCAGCGGGGGACATCCTGACACTCTAATACAGACTCTCCAAATGTGGGCCAGGACCATCCGCACCATCCCCTGGACTGCTGGATGGTGCAGAGGTCCGAGCCCCACACCGCATCCACAGGATCTAGCTCTGGGGAGTAAGTAGGGCTGCAGATCTGTACTTCCCCAGCTTCCTGGGTCATCCCTGCTCACACTGAAGTTGGAGACCTTTGCTCTTGGGACACTTGCAGTGAGTCTTGTTTGGCTGGGCACAGTAAAAAGAGGTGACCAGAAGCTGGCAAAAGCAACAAAAAACAGAGCAGAGGTCTAGAAGAGACTCTTTAAAATTCTTTGAAAAGTCAGGCCTACTGAGGAATAGAAGTCAGGGCAGAGCAGGCCTGTGCACTTGGGCTATGGGCCAGCTAAGGAAACAAAACCAGGAAGATGCCAGAATCGTTGTCAGGCCTGAAAATTTGGTGTGAGTTGCTTCTGAGGGTGACAGTTTGGGCACCTGGACCAGTTTCATCTCTTACCCTCTCGCTGGTGCTGGCAGGGGCAGGGGCTGACTTCGTGATGCTGGGCGGCATGCTGGCTGGGCACAGTGAGTCAGGTGGTGAGCTCATCGAGAGGAATGGCAGGAAGTACAAGCTCTTCTACGGCATGAGCTCCGAAATGGCCATGAAGAAGTATGCTGGGGGTGTGGCTGAGTACAGGTAGGTGTGGTGGCCAGAGGCCAAGGGTTCTTGGAAAGCATGACTTTCCAAGAAGGGTGATGGCAGAACTCATGGTTGCTGGGAGATAGATGGTACAGTTTTTGGAAGAAAAGTGATGAACAGGGAAGGACTAAATGCTAGAGACCAGGGTAAGGAATCCAGTGAGAAAAGGTAAGCAAGCTTTTCTTCTTCTAAGGGCCTCAGAGGGAAAGACAGTGGAGGTGCCCTTTAAAGGGGACGTGGAACATACCATCCGAGACATCCTTGGAGGCATCCGCTCCACCTGCACTTATGTGGGAGCAGCTAAGCTGAAGGAGCTGAGCCGGAGAACTACCTTCATCCGTGTCACCCAGCAGGTGAATCCGATCTTCAGTGATGAGAGCTAGACCTGAGCAGTTCTGCCCTCCCAGGGCTCTAGCATCCACCACAGGGCTCCCAAGTGGGCTCCTCTCATCCCAGCTACTCAGGCTATTATTACTTGGTCATTTCCTATCCTCTCCTTACAGCTCCTGCAGTAATTCTGTACTTCTCTATCTGCACATGCAAAATGCTGAGGGCACTCGGTGGGGAGGAAGCAAGGCAGGTAGGCTGAGACAAGGAAGTTGAGAGAATCAAGTGGGAATCTGGGGACCCAGCATTCTGAAGATGATTAAAAAGAAGAGAGGCTGATTCATACATAAATGTTTTATGTGGCCTTGGTTCTGGTAGAGGTAGGCTTTTAGAATCATGTTTTGTTAATCAGATTCATTAAATAGACCTTTGAATATCTACAAAGCATGGAATTGTTTACATACTTTAAATACCTCAATAAAGAGAGATCCCAATGACTTTAAGATTCTGGGGTTTTCTGCATAAGGCTGGCATCTGGGTGCTACCCCAGGGCAAGTGCAGGAGTAAGCATTGACCCACTGGAGTCAGCCACAGTGAGTACCTTTCCTGTGAAATATCTCCATTCTAGAGCCGCTACCCCCAAGGAACCTGGCAGCATGAGAATTTACAAAGTATATTCTGGCATCAGACCACAGAATTATTTTCAGAATAGCAAAAGGAAGTTTTTCTTCCAGGCTCTTAGCCCTGGTAATTGGGCGTGTCTGAACGGCACTCTCCAAGGGAGGTAAAATGGCAAAAGGATCCACTTCCAGCCCCAGAGAGGCTGGTTGTGTTTCTAAAGAGTGACCTACACTGACCTTAGAGAAGGCTTCATTCCCCTTCCTTGCACCAAGACAATGTTTTAACAAGTCCAAAATTTAATTATCAAGCATTACAAAGAAACTTCAGCATTGTAGTCAGGCAACCCAAGCCCAGGCTTCCACTTTATCCCCACTAAACTGTATGAGAGAAAGAAGACAGGCAGAATGTCGTGGGCACTTCAGTCTTATCACAAGAGTCTAGAACTGTCTGTACAGTCAGGGAAGGGGATAGACACAGTGCTGGGGCCAGAAGAGGGTAGGTATTCACAGAAGGTAGGGATCAGGGTGTCAAACTTTGTCTTCTGATAGTTTTCCAGAGGTTCCTGCAGAGAAGGGAGCAGGGAGATCCTATCATCATTGAAACGTGCCCTGATCCCTTCATATCCTAGAGAATGTCACTTTCTGTCTTGTTCTGCCCACCCATCCTGTTCCCAGCTTTCCTACTCACCCTTCCTTCGCTCTGGCTATCTTCTTCCTCGTCCGAGTCCAAAACCAGGTCCCCTATGGTAATGTCAGAGCTGTACAGAGATGGAGGACAAACTGTAGGGAGGAAAGCAGAGTCCAGGCACTCTCCTCAGTGAACACAGATCCTCAGGAGTCCCCAGGAGAGAAGGCTGTTTGATCTGGTTCTGACTCAGGATACCTACCTGACTTCCTAGGAGGTGATAATGACAATCTTAGTGGTTTCATGTGGCAGTCCATGTCGCAGTTCCTGAGGTGGGAGCAAGCAAAGACAGGGTGAAAGGAAAGCAGGCAGGACATGTGCTGCTAGTAGGATGCAGCAGCTATTCTACTCACTCCTTTTGCTCCGAGGCAGATGAGTCAATTGGATTCCCCTTCACAGCTCTTCCTCCCAGGGTCTTGGACGGGCTCCTAGACTTCCCGGTCAAGGGTGCTCTGGTGCCCATGGCACCTGCTGGATCTGCTGGGTGTGTGCCGTCTTTGCCCTTCCCAGGCTTAGATGTGACCTGGGCTGGTGAACCCACATCCCTGAAGGGGAGCAGCATGACTGTGGGGCGCTCCTTATGGCCTCTGCTAGTGGGTGCCCACTGGGACTGGATTCTTCGCCGGCCTAGAGGGGCCAGATTGAAATGGTGGCCGGTCAGAGGTTCTGGATGCTTCCTTGAGGCTGGTCCCTGAGGAAGCAGTGGGCCAGGAGAGGCTTTTGGCAGAGGGTCGTGGAGTGCTGGTCTTGGTTGCTGAGGAGGACTCTGCTCTGAAGGCTCTGTCGTGTTCACTGCATCAGTAGCAGAGCACTCTGAAGAAGAAAACAAGGCTCCTTAAAAAGCTAAAATTCTAACACATCCACTCAGTTTGGTTTCTTATACTTCAGGCCCATGTAGCCCTTCCAGTGGGCTGTCTCAAAAGGTCTCAAGCTAAACACTCCACCCCCCAATTCTTGGTTCTCCTACATGGTCCTGGTACCTGGAAGTGGCCACCCCATGTCCACGCCATATTGGCTCAAGACAAAAGAAGAAGTAATAGAAACTCCAGGCTGCATCCAACTCAGCACATCCTGAAGCTGTGGGCAGGGAGAGAGGCATGAAGACCACAGGCCTTGTTACAACCCCACCCGCCACCCCAGCATTCTGCCCTTATGTGTTTGCCCCAACAAAACCTGCTGTGCCTGCAGCATAGGCAGTGCTTTTTCCAGCTGACACAAATATTCAAAAAACAGCTTTTCCATGGCAGCCAGAAAAGTTTCCCCATACTCTTGTTCGAGTTCCTGCAGGAGGAAAAGCAGCAGGTCAGAGACGGCTAGAGCCAACAGCTACACCACTGCTTCCGAAGCAGCCAGTCCCACCTGCAGCTTCGAAGCCAAATCAACAGGGGCTTCTGCCAGCTGCTTCACCTGCTGGCAAAAGGTTTCCTGAGCCTCTGATATCTTCCTCAGATCCTGCTTTGTCTGTCGAGGGTAAAGAAGGCAAACAGGTTAGGGGCACCAGGATCCAGTGACCAGGAAGAGGAGCAACTTTGCTGCATCAGGTGTTAACCGGGGTAGGGCTTGCTTCAAGGGTTTACTCACGATTTTGGGGTCCCGCACTGCAGGTCCAGACTCTGGGAAGTGGTGATGTAGGGCATTTAGAACCTGGGCCCAAGGCCGGCCCTGCAGGATGAGCTCCACCACCAACTGTGGAGGGTACTGAGCTCAGAATGCCCACGTTGGAGCAAACTGCCCTTTTCCTACCGGTTCCATCCCCAAGCAGTCGGCCCCTATCCCCTCTACCAGGTCCTATTGGTTCCAATACCTTGGCCTTTAGGCCCATACACAGGCGTTCATGATGCCGGTAGCGAACCAAGCCAGGGGCAGCAGCGCGCAGGTATCGCAGAAACTCCAATACTCGGGGAAAATGCTCCACGCAGCGTCCGCGAATGACCTGCCAGCTGGCAGCAGCTACAAAGCGAAGAGCAGCGGGACCGGCCCCCGGGGGTGTGGCCATGGCCGGCGGACTCCACCCCAGGGGCCGCCTCTTTGGGTTCCTACCTCCTCGGCGCGGCTTCCCGACTCCTCCCAGGGGCGGGGCTTCCGGTGGCCCTCACTGGCTCGGCTATTTCAGTCTGCAACGGGTACTTGGCTATCCGACTCTGCGCCTACCAAGGGCCACCAGAATCCTGGGGTTTCTCTCCACCTCGGGATGGAGCCCGAATGCAGAAGCTGGCCAGCTCCACTGGCACTAGACCGCTCTGTCTGAAACGCCGCCGCTGTCTCAAACGCGAAGGCTCCCTCCCTTCCGGCTCTACGACCAGTTCTCCTACCCGGGAAAAGTGTGGGAGTGGCGAACCAATGGGCGGCCAGACAGGGTATACGTGACGTCGCGTCACAAGGCCACGCCCGGGTAGATCCGGCGCCGCTGCTGGTCCCCGCCCTCGCTTCCCCGCACTTCCGACAGCTAAGGGAGGCGGGGGAGGGGATCGCGGATCTGGGCTCTGTCCCCGACCGGTGCATTATTTCGGGGAGCCTGCAGAGAAAGCGCTTCGTTCTTTGAAGACTTGACTTTCTAGTCTGTAAAGGGAGGTTCGTGCCACTTTCCCTGTCCATCGTCTTCAGCCTCTCAAATCCGATTCCTTAAATGCCAGCGCTCATACCGGCGTCTGCAAAGCCTTCCCCTGGCGGTGCGCGACTTCCAGTTCGGCTCTTTTTACAGACCAGGAGAGGGCGCCCGCCCTTAAAAAACAAAATACAAAGTTTGAAAAAATACGTCAAATTGATAACTTTTTTCTAGATGGTGAGACTTTAGGTAATTTTTTGTGTTTTTCTGTGTTTGATATAATTTTTAAAGGCGTGTAGTGCTAAAAAATAACAACATAGATTTCCCTTTTCGAATTCTCTTGTGCGCTTACTCCAGTCAGCCCCCTCATATAACCTCTTTCTCCTTGTCACCCTTCCTGGGGTCTCTCCTTATTTCCAGGGACAGAACCTTGACACACAGTGTGTATTCTTTGTTTTCGGAATTAATTATCTGCTCTGACTGCCTTACAGGGATTTAGTGAGACTACCCTTTACATGGGCCATCTCCTTTCTTAGAGATAATGGCCCCTGTGCTCCTTCCTGTCTCCACCCGAGATCAGTCTTCTGTGCAGAGCCATGCATTCGACTGCCCGCGGGACATCTCGCTGGAAGTTCCAAAGTACTAAAAACGGACATCTATGAAATTCTAGTTACCTTCCTTTTTTATTTCACTTTTATTTTTTCCCCTAAAGTTCTGCCTTTATGTAGGTTATGCCTTTATGCCTTATATAGTTTCTGACCTATGTCGTTTTTCTTCTTTTGTGAAGAATTTCTTTTAGCATATCTTGCAAGTCAGGTCTTCTGGCTGCAAACTCCCTCAATTTTTGTTTGCCTGAAAAAGTGTTACTCCTTCACTTTTGAGAGATAATCTTGTTGGATACAGAAGTCTAGGTTGATGGACTTTTTTTCCTTCAACACTTTAGACATTTTACTGTGCTCTCTTCTTGCATGGTTTCTGAAGAAGTCCGATGTAATTATTATTTTGGCTGCCCGCATGCGTTGCGGGGTCTTAGTTCCCCAACCAGGGACTGAACCTAACCCTGACAGTGAAAGCACACAGTCCTAATCACTGGACCACCAGGAAATTCCCCCAATGTAATTCTTATCCTTACTCCTTTATAAGATGTACCCACTTCTACTCCTCAGGATTCGTTCAAGATTTTCTTTTGGTTTTTGATTTTCCGTTCATCCTTCTTGTAAGGACAGAAGTGAGAACTTCTAAGCTCCTTATATGCCAGACTGAAAACTGAAAATTATCTTTTATTTTAAATTCTGCTCTTTCTCCTGGCCTCTGTATTTCTGTGCATGACATGTTTCTTTACCCATGACTCAGAAAACAAGACCATTGCCCTTAAGTTTGTCCTCTCTGTTCTCCAAATCTAATCCCTCACCAAGTCTAATCAATTCTACTTCTAATGGAACCTTCAAACTTACGCCCTCTTTTTTTCACGCTCACAGCCTGTATCTTATTTAAGTTTCCCTGTCTCTCACATTGAGAAGACTCTAGTCTCCCCACCTCCAGCCCAACCCTTAATTTTTTTTTTTTTTTGCTTTTATTCCATTTGTTTATTTTTGCTTTTCCCTAGTTTCTTTTCCATGTTGCTTTCACCATAAATCTGGTGAAATGCAAAATTGATCACATCATCCCTGAGAGCTCCCCCTTATTTTCAAAAGAAAGTCCAAGCTCCAAAATATGGCAAAAGGATTTTTAATGATCTGAATAAATTTACCTCTTCTAACACATTCCTTCCCACTTTGCACTTATCATGCACCTATAAGCCAATCCTCTTCAAACTGCTTGCATTTCAAGATATACTGAGTTGTCTTATATTTTGTGCCTTGCCCATACTGGATGATTCCTTTGTCCTTGCCTCGTGGACTTGACTTTCATCTTCTGTGGCCCATGTGATGACTACCTCCACAAAGCCCCTCATAGTTATCTCCCCAAGCCTCCCTCAGCAACTCTAGTGGATTTCTTTTTAAATTTTTTAAAAAATTTTATTTTTGGCTGTACTGGGTCTTCACTGCTATGCGTGGACTTTCTCTAGTTGTGGCAAACAGGGGCTACTCTCTAGTTGTGGTGTTTGAGCTTCTCATTGCCGTAACTTTTCTTGTTGTGGAGTACTGGCTCTAGAGCTCAGGCTTGGTAGTTGTGGTGCATGAGCTTAGTTGCTTCGAGGCATGTGGGATCTTCCCGGATCAGGGATTCAACTTGTGTCTCCTGCATTGGCAGGTGGATTCTTCATATAAAATGTAAGTGGTATTAAATAGGTTTCCCTAGTACTTCTGCTGAGGTACAATCCCAGTAAGAGTTTTGCTCAGCTGGTCATTACTCAGCTCTCCCTGAGTACCCAATTATCTCTTCCCAGAGCTGGACTAGTTATCCCTCATGCATTCTTCCCACAAATGCTCCAAAACGTAAACCTCTACTGCACTCCTAAGCCTCCAGATGCCCCATCACCCTCATTTTCCATTCAACAGATATTTAATGAAAACCTAGTATGTCACAGGCTATGAATCAGCGTGAGTAAGAGAGAGAAGGTCCTTGCCCTTCTATCCTACTGGGAGGGGAGCCAGAGGCCTAAGAACAAATTAAGCTGGGACAATAGGGATTCTGATGCTCACCCCCAGAAAATTAAAGATGATCCCCATAAAGCACCCAGTTTGAGCTTAACTCATAGTAGGAGCTCAGCATATATTCGTTTCTTTCCCTCTAGCTATTTGGAGAATAGCACTGCCTTCCCATTTTTTTGTTGTTTTTCTTTTTGAGGATTTCAAGCATTTTTGAGTTCTGATACATGCAGAGGACCAGGATAAAGTGGATAAATGTGAAGCAAGTTACAAAGTTGTTAGAAATCTTAAGCTCTCACATTTTCCCCCAAGTTCAATAAAAAGAGATACTGATGTATTTCTGGAAACTAATAAAGTGTATCGAACCACCTTAAATGTGCTCAATTTTGTTTGCATAATAATTCTCACTCTGGAGGTTATCTTAAGGAAATAATTTTAAAATGAGCCCAAGGATTTATTTTCTTGTACAAGGATATTTATTACAGCTCTATTTAGAATAGCAAAACTTTTGGAGGGGAGGGGAGGGATGGACTGAGATTTGGGGGTTAGCAGATGCAAACTAGTATATATAGAACAGATAAACAACAAAGGCCTACTGTATAGCAAAGGGAACTATATATTCAATATCCTGTGATAAACTATAATGGGAAAGTATTTTAGAAGAAGGTATATATACACATATAATGAATGACTTTGTTGCACAGTAGAAATTAACACTAATTCAACTATACTTCAATTTTTTAAAAATAGAGAAAAAAATAGTAAAACTTTGGCAAGACTTAAATTTCTAGGAATGAGAGATTAATCAAATAAATCACATTTTTATTAAAAAACAGTACCACTGTTGGAGTTTGCTCCACAAATTCAAGGAACAGTTATGTTACATATTGCAAATTGTTGCTTTTAAGTGTGTAAGTAGCAAACACTTCTCCTGTAGCTCTGTGCTGGACCCTGTTCTGGGTCCTGGTGTGAACAGACAGATAAGCTCTTGAGCGCTTACATTTTAGAGAAAAGAGAATTTAATGAACAAAGAAGCACACTGATGTTAATAAGTGCTAAGTAGGATACAAAATAAAATAGGGTGATAAGAGACTGGAGGTAACCAACTAATCAGATTGATGGTAGAGAAGAGCTCTATGGGGAGGTGACATCTTTTTTTAATTATTTTTTTAATCGAAGGATAATTGCTTTGCAGAATTTTGTTGTTTTCTGTCAAACCTCAACATGCATCAGCCATAGGTATACATATATCCCCTCTCTTTTGAGGGTGGTGACATCTGAGTTGAGACCTGAAGAATGAGGGGTAGCCATGCCACGGGGTACAGTGTTCCTTTAGAAGGAAGAACAGATGCCAAGGCTTAGGTAGAAGGTTGGTGAATTTGAGAAGCAGAAGGACTATGGGGCTGAGGCAGCAGGGCCAGGGGCAAGTGGTGGAGTTGAGGTTAGAGAAGCCTGCAAGGCCAAATAGATGAGGGTAGCATTTTGCATGGTTCCAAGGGTGTTGGGAAAGCATTGGAAGTGTAGCCATAACATAAGCTGCTCCAGCAGCACAGATTTTAAAACTTACCTGCATCTTCTCTCCCTACTGACCTTGGCATGTCTTAGAACTTTTAGAAAACGACTAGTTGAGTGGGAGACAATTAATCTTGCTTGCTTCAGAATCCCAGGGACTGGCCTTAAGAATATCGGAGCAGACCAACCCTGGAGTAGAAGACTAAATGCACATAAACCCTTCTAGATGGTGCTGACCAGAATGCCTCATGACCAATTTATTATTATTATTGGAGCTGACTGTGCGCTTCTGCACATAGCCCCCTCTCAAACACCGGTTAAAACCCTTTATCCTGTAACCGGTAACTTGGAGATGGTTTAGGGACATTAGTCCCATCATCTTCCCAGATTGATGTCCTCCTGAATAATGCAGCCAGTCTCTTCCCACCAACACGTGTCTCTCGAGTATTGGGTTTCAAGCAGAAAACAAATGAACTTGGGTTCAGTACCAGTCCTGTCTGGTTTTAAGCAGGAGAGTGCCAGGATTTCATTTAGAGCTTAGAAAGCTCACTGGCTGTGTAGAAATTGGATTACTCAGAAACAAGAGTGGAAACTTATCAGGAGGCTATGGCAGTTCCGTAGGGAAAGAGCACAGTGACAGTGTAAGTGGAGAGGACAGAGTCAGATATATTTTGGACATAGAACT